CTTTAGTCATAAAGATATCATGGTTGAGAGGAGAAGTCAAGAAACTAATTAAACATTATAAAATACACTAATGAATTAATTGTGTTAATTATAATGTTTAATTAGTGAAGACACTAACTAAACATTATAAAACTCCCAATATATAACCAGTGGAAAAATGGGGAAGATGATACAGGGCTTACAAATCCATTGAGAGGAAATGCAGGCAATCAATAACAGAAGGCAAAGTTATCAATGAAAATATATGGCCAGCAGGGTTAAGGATAATAACAAGGAATTCTTTAAGCATACCATGAACAAATGAAATGACATTTATCCCAGACCATATCATGGAAACATTGTTATGTAACACAATCAGTACAGAATTAAAGGATGGCAGCATTATTAATACCAAGCCACATGGTTTTATAGAAAACAGGTATTTTTAAACTAACATGATATTGTTTTCTGATGAGATCTCAAGTTTGGTTGACAAAGGTAATTGTGCTGATGTAATATATTTATTCTTTAAAATTTGGAGTTAGTTCTGCATGGCAATCTGATTTTAAAGAAAGCACTTTAAAAGTCGATGTAGCTCATATGAAATGCATTAAAAGCTGGTTAACTGATACTGTGCAAAAAGTAATTGTAAAAGGGAAAGCATCAGCCAATGGGAGTGTTCCTAGGTTAGCGATCTGTTCTTGGGCCACTGCTCGTTGCTGGTAAAATGTGCAGATTATGCAAAAAATGATGGAAAGGGAAACAATGATGGGGTCAACTCAGTGATGCAGACTGACCTGGCTCACATATTCACAGATTGAATTGGCAGACGGGACCACTGTGGACATCTCTCTGACCACCTACATGACCCAGGGCCTAGTTCTTCCCTTCATCCATTTCTGTTTGAACTAGAGCAGTGGTTTTAGGAAAAAAAACATCGGATTTTGATTTTAAAATTTTTAGTGATGGAAAATCCACAACCACCTTTGGTGAATTTGTTCCAATGGTTAATTGCTCTCAATTAAAATTTTTCATCTTATTGGTGGCATGGGTTCATCTGAACATGTGTTCTAACACAAATGTGAAGTCCTACATCTGGGAACAAAGACTGTAGGTTACATAAGATGGGAGACGGTGTCCTGGGAAGGAGAGACTCTGACCAGGACTCGGGAGTCCCAGTAGCTAGCCAAATGAATGCGAACTCCAGCCCGATGCTATAGCAAAAAAAAAAGACAATCCTCAGATACACAAGAAGGAGAGTATCAAGGAAGAGTAGGGGAGTAACATGACCTCTGTGAGCCCATTAGTGGAATACTGTCCCCAGGTCTGTTGTCCACACTACAGAAAGCATGTTGATAAATTGGAAAG